CGGAACCGGCCGACACCTCCACGGTCATTTCCTTCCCCAAGCGCTCGCTGAGGAGGTTCCTCAGGCAGCTGCAGGAGGTTTTGCTGCTCCTCAAGCAAAAATCGAGCTGAGCAGGAGCGAGGGAGAGCGGATCCCGTTCCGGCTGCGGTGGATCTCCGGTGTGCCCGGCGGGGCTCGGATCACCGGGGCGGCTCCGGTGCCCAGGGCTGCTCCCCGTCCTGCCCGCGCTGCTGCCCTGCGCCCACCCCGATGCTGGGCTGGGTTTAATCTTCGGAATAAAGTTGTTTTTGTGTTCCCCTCGAGGGGGTTTAGGAACGGGGTTTTCCTGTTTTGTGTTCCTGGCAAAAGAGCGGCGCTGCTCCTTCACTTTCCCGCTCCAGGTGGGAGCACGGAAGGCAAAGCTCAGGGGTTAAAAACTGGGATTTACTGGGAAATTCGGGGGTTAAAAACTGGGAAGCTCAGGGTTTAAAAACCGGGATTTACTGGGAAGCTCAGGGGTTAAAACCTGGGAAGCTCAGGGTTTAAAAACTGGGATTTACTGGGACGCTCAGGGGTTAAAAACTGGGATTTACTGGGAAGCTTAGGGGTTAAAAAGTGGGATTTACTGGGAAATTCAGGGGTTGAAAACTGGGATTTCCTGGGAAACTCAGAGGTTAAAAACTGGGATTTACTGGGAAGCTCAGGGGCTAAAAACTGGGAAGCTCAGGGATTAAAAACTGGGATTCACTGGGAAGTTCAGGGGTTAAAAACTGGGATTTACTGGGAAGCTAAGGGGTAAAAACTGGGATTTACGAGGAAGATCAGGGTTTAAAAACTGGTATTTACTTGGAAGCTCAGAGGTTAAAAACTGGGATTTACTGGGAAGCTCAGGGGTTAAAAACTGGGAAGCTCAGGGATTAAAAACTCGGATTTACTGGGAATTTCAGGGATTAAAAACTGGGATTTACTGGGGAGCTCAGGGGTTAAAAACTGGGATTTACTGGGAAGCTCAGGGTTAAAAACAGGGATTTACTGGGAAGCTCGGGGGTTAAAAACTGGGAAGCTCAGGGGTTAAAAACTGGGGTTTACTGGTAAACTCGGGTTAAAAACCGGGATTTACTGGGAAGATCAGGGGTTAAAAACTGGGATTTACTGGGATGCTCAGGGGTTAAAAAGTGGGATTTACTGGGAAATTCAGGGGTTGAAAACTGGGATTTACTGGGAAGATTAGGGATTAAAAACTGGGATTTACTGGGAAGCTCAGGGGTTGAAAACTGGGTTTTACTGGGAAACTCAGGGGTTAAAAACTGGGAAGCTCAGGGGTTAAAAATTGGAATTCACTGGGAAGCTCAGGGGTTAAAAACTGGGATTTACTGGGAAGCTCAGGGGTTAAAAACTGGGAAGCTCAGGGGTTAAAAACTGGGATTTACTGGGAAGATTAGGGGTTAAAAACTGGGATTTACTGGGAAGCTCAGGGGTTAAAAACTGGGATTTATTGGGAAGCTCAGTGGTTAAAAGCTGGGATTTACTGGGAACAGGGATGAGAAATCAAACAATTCTTTGGAACAACGTTAAGAACCAAAGGTGTGAGACAAAACAATGATTTACACATGGACAGCCCGAGACACCAGCACCTTCCACAGCTTTTATCCCGACTGGAAATAATTCCCTTTGCCATGGAAGCCCCTTTCCCTCAACCCAGCAATGGGTCCAGAGCTGCTGGGAAACATCATCCCTGTGGCCAAAATTAGGACACCCACGACCCTCATTTTCAGCCCAGTTCAGTCWCCCGTGCGAGGCGAGGATGGGAC